CAAAGATATATGGATGGCAAATAAGCACATGCAAAGAAACTCAACATCACAGTCATTAGGGAAACTACTACACACCTCTTAGAATGGCCAAAGTTGAAAAGAATGACCAAACCAAGTACTACCAAGGATATAGAGAAAGTAGTAGAAATGTAAAATGGTATAACCACTTCGGAAAAGTCTGGCAGTTTCTTAAAAAGTTAAACATACACCTACATATAACCCAATCATCCATAACTAGCTACTTAAAAGAAAATGAAGCAAATAAAGCATATGTACATATAAACACTTGTATCTGAATGCTCACAGAAGCATTATTTCTAATACCTCAAAAATGGAAAAAGCCATGGATCTTTCAGTAAGTGAATAAACAGACTGTAGCATATCCGTGCAATGAAATACTCAGCAACAAAAAATAATGAACTACACACAATAACGTGGATGAATTTCAAAATAATTATTCTCAAAGGAAACAAACAAAAAAAGAACATACTATGTGATTTCATATACTCTAGAAACCCTTATCTAGCAAACTGATCTACAGCACTATTGACATTTTGAGCCAAATAATCCCTGATTAGGGGTGGGGAAGTCCGGAAGCCCCAGTCATGAAGGTGACGTCAAAAATGTCTGTAAGAGGGCCGACCCTATGGCTCACTCGGGAGAGTGCGGCGCTGGGAGCGCAGCGGCGCTGGGACGCCAAGACCGCGGGTTCGGATCCTATATAGGGTTGGCCGGTGCGCTCACTGGCTGAGCGCGGTGCGAGCGACACCACGCCAAGGGTTGCGATCCCCTTACCGGTCACACACAAAAAAAGCCTGTAAGACACTTCCAAATGTCTTGGGGGTGGGTGAGGGGAAGTGGTCATTCACTGAGAACCACTGATGTATACTGATACAAAAAAAAAAAGTTAAAACGACAAATTTTATGTTACCTGTACTTTACCACAATAAAAAAAAAAATTGTGGTAAATCCAAAGTGTGCCCAGCCTTCCCCTCCCTTCCCTCCACGGTTGCTGGTCTTGGAGCCAAAACATACCTCCGAACCCTTCTCTCAAGTGACTGTAATCAGTGAGCAGGTTTAACGGGAGCACAAGCTCCTCCTTTAAGGAAACTTTAAAAGGGACCCAGATCAGGACTCGAAAAGGTGACGAAGTCTGGAAATGGGTGAGCCCATCTTATGATGAAATATCGTCCCCCCTGAAACACGGAAGAGGGTGCTTTTCCCCCCACTTTGTTTTTGGGATTTTTTTTTTTTTTCTTTAAAGATGACCAGTAAGGGGATCTTAACCCTTGACTTGGTGTTGTCAGCACCACGCTCAACCAGTGAGCTAACCGGCCACCGCTATATAGGGATCCGAATCCGTGGCCTTGGTGTTATCAGCACCACACTCTCCCAAATGAGCCACTGGCTGGTCCTCTGTTTGTTTGTTTCTAAGGGCGAACACTGAGCAGCAGGTCGGATCTCTCCACTAAAACCGACTGCGCACCTGGGAAGCAGGCGCGGGAAGTGCCGAGGGACTTGAGCCGAGGCCAAAGCTTGGCGAGGTTTGGAGGGAGGTACGTCCCCCCGGGCGGGGGACGGGGTCGGCGCGCGTGGGAGGCGAGGGGAGAGCAGAAGCCCGGACCCGGTCCCGCGGGCCTTCCCAACACCTCCCCCGCTCCGCTGCCGTTTACCGGGGCTGACCGCGCGCGACGCTCTGCGCGCGCACTCCCTCCCCTCCCCCCACCTTACGGATAGGGAAACTGAGACCCCAGGCGCAGTGGGGGGTGGGGGAGGAGAGGCGTGAAACCACGCGCCCAAGGTCACCCGACAGGCGAGCAGCCGAATGGGCCTCGGACTCGGGGGCTCTCCGACTCCGGCACCCGCGCCATCACTCCCGCGCGCGGTGGCCCGGCCTGAGGCCTCGGCGACGGGGTCGAACCCGGCCTGGAGGGACTGGGGAACTGAGACTCGAGGCCCGGGAGTAGGAGGCGATCCTTGAAGCGCTCCCGGAACCGCCTGGCTCCCCCGCTCACTGCCTTAGCCATCTCCACCCTCGGGAGGCCCTGAGGGGAAGGCTGGGGCCGGCGTCGCGCCGGGGGTAGGCCTCCAACAGACCTAACGGAGCTGCCGCCGGCCGCTGCGAGGGAGCCCGGCCGGGGGCAAGGAACCGTGGAATACTCACCCCTTCGGACCCGGAGCCCCGTTGCCGCTCGGCACGCCGGGCGCGCCGCTCTCCTCCTCCATTTTGATCTCCGTCGCCGCCACCTCTGCCGCTGCTTCGACCCCTGCCGCCATTTTCTCCGCGTCTGGGCTTTGTGTGAGGGAGCGGGCGGCGCGGCACTGCGCCTGCGCGCTCACGTGACCCAGCGAGGCCGGTAACGCCTGCGCGGGCCGCGGCTGGATCCCGCCCTCGGCCCCCTCCCGCCCCGGGCCACGCCCCTGTTCCGGACCGCGCAGGCGCGGATCTGGCAACTGTTCATTCATTCATTCCCGCGACAAAGTTGGCGTTAGGTACCTACTGGATGTGCTGCACGCCCACGAGTCCGGTACGGGAGGCATCTTTCCCCCCTCCACACACACACACCCCC